CCCCAAAACCCCAAAACCCCAAAACCCCAAAACCCCTCTTAAAACCGAGAAAATAGAACTATTCTAATTAGAATATATCCAGTGACACAGAGTAGGGGTAAAGATGTAGATAAGTAATGATGTAGAATAATGAACATTTGCCTAGGCAAAGAGCCTATGCAATCGAGATGTAGGGGTTAGTATCTGATGAGATTTATGAACTCTCAGAACAACTTCCGACAATAAAGTCTTCTCTAGCTTTCATTTCCATATAAACTTCGAAAGCAGGAATGCAAGAGTCAGGATCAGAAATCCAAGGATGGTCTAATATATCTAAGACGGTAGATCTTTCCATTGGGTCCTGATTCAAGAGGCAGCTCAAAAAGTCTCTGCAATCCTTTGAAAGGCTAGAAAGGATATAGCTTCCTTCTTTATCTTTCTGTGATTCTATAGGATTATAAGAATAGTCTCAAGTGTGAAGTGTTGATTCAGCTTTTGAGGGGAAATTTCCAGTAAGCATTACATACAGGGTAACACCTAGTGAGTAAGCATCAGCTTTGAAAGCATTGAATCGATCTTTCCCATCTCCTTTCAAAATTTCTGGAGCGATATATTGTTTAGTTCCGCATCTTGAGGAGGTATAACCGAAATTGGTTTGAACACTTGTACCAAGATCTGCAAGTTTCGAGTTATAGTTTTCATCCAGTAAAATATTATCAACTTTGACATCCAAGTGAGCATAGCCTTTAGAATGGAAGTAAGCTAGAGCATTGGCTATCTGGGTAGCATAAAACCTTACTATTTCTTCTTCGAAATGTCCTGATCTTTTGACAAAGGTCCTAATAGCTCCCTTTTTGGCTAACTCAACTATACAGTACATAATCTCGTGCTTTTCACCTTGAATATCAATAATTCCATTAGTATTTACATGAAAACCGTTGAGAATATTAGGGTGCTCTTGCATCTGCTGCATCACATTGATCTCAGTATCAAGAAGAGCTGTAGCAAGCCCTTGGCTGAATTTTTTATCCTTCCTTATAATCTTTACTGCGTAGAGGTCCTTATTTGCATCTGAACAACTGTATACTTTTGAAGAACCACCAGTTCCTAGAAGCATATCGATTTTGAAGTTGTCATCGATTACTCATTCTTGGAGGGATTTGTTATCCATGTCTTCTTGATAGAATATTTATCAAAATTATTATAAAACAATCTTGTAACTAAATTTTGGGGTTTTGGGGTTTTGGGGTTTTGGGGTTTTGGGG